AAATTAATACTTCATATGTGTTTGAAATATTATTTTAATACATTATAAATAGCATTCCTAACTGAAAACTGTCTCATAGAAATTGTTGACAAAATACTAGCAACTAAATGGTTGATTCAAATTATTTAATAACTTATTCTACAATAACACTGCATATAAAATCTATTGTACAGTAATTTTTCAATTCTAATATCAGAATAACAAATATTTGTATTGATAAACATATTGTGATATAATTTATAGTATAATCTGTCAGTAGTTTATGTCAAAAACATTTAAATAAGCGTTTCTTGTCTTAAAGGAAATAACAATGAGAGCAGAAGAAGAAGAAGAAGAAGAAAAGGGGAAAAATCAAAATTATTGATCCATAGATCCAACAGTTATATTCAGACTCCGCTTCACTACAGGCTATGTATATTTGAAACGACTTTCATTTGATGCCAAAAAATGCTTTTTCTTCGAGAAGACGACAAATTAATTCACTCATTAATTTAGATGTAATTTTGATGGCATTAATTAGTTTTAATTATTAATTTATAAATTTCGGGCATAAATTTAAACATTCTATTAATTATGATAGTTATATTTATGGCTTCAGCAAATGTTCATTATTAATATCATAAATATAATAAATATTATTATTATTATTAATATTATTAAAATTCTGAAACATCTTAAAAATTAAATAAATTGTTTTTTGTTGTATTCGTTTAATAATATATTTATAGCTCAAAAAATGTAATTTATTTAATGAATAGTTGTGTAAGAAATGTGTGTTTTGGGCAATGATTCTCAAGCGATGAGATGCGGCGCTGATAAGAGGCAAACGGCGGTCGAGACGATGGCAAACGTGGAAAACAAGATGAGACACAAGCGATCGATAACCATCGCCGCGAACTTCCATTCGTTGATAATCTCGTGCAACTCGTCTTCCTTTCGCATTCGGTTTGTTATGAATTTTAATTCTTTAAATATTGGACTCAATTGTCGCTCACAATCGGCTGATTGCGGACACGAGGTGTCGATCGGCGAGTCATTCAACGGCGGATTATAAGCACTGATGTCCGGCTCGTCTGACGACCGGTTTTGCATACTATAGAGATTTGTGTGAAACGAGTCTATGTTTGAATAGGAGTGACAACCCGTCGGACACCTGGCGTTCAAATGACTAAAGTCTTCGTCGCCATCCATTAGGTTGGACATGGCGTGTCGGGGCGCGTGTAATTGCTCTAGCTCCTTGATCTTGTTGCTTAAGTTTGTCATTTCCTGGCGCTTCTTAGGCGATGGATTCGATGTATTGCCGGTCCGACGCCTCGGGGGCTTCACTTTGCCCGGCCTATCGATGCACAGCAGCTTAGGCAACCACGTTAGGATTATTATCCGGATCTATTCAGTTAGCGTATTATTATTATGCCATAAATACTATCATCAATTATGATTATATGCATGCCCAACATTAATATAAAATTATTCCCAAAGTGCATGTACTGTGCGGTACGGTATATCTCATTTATGTTTCATAAACATGATAAATATAAGAATATTCCTTAAATACTGTTATAAACATGCACAATATGTCAGGCATTTTATGTCATAAAAAACATCAAAACCATAATTTAAAAGTAAATATTTTCACACAATTATTGAAGTAATAAAACAAAACAAATGATAAGAAAATTCAAATCTTATTCTGTTTTTCTATTATTCTGTGATAAAGAATAAAATTCACTTTATTTAATGATAACATAACCACAAAAATAAGACAAATTCTCATGTTTTTCAATAAATATTTCAGTGAAAACATAAGGCTTTCAACTCTTGTTCTCAAACTTGATATAACTTTCATAGAGTTTGTTAAGAAAAAATTTAAAACTCATTTATTATGGTTAAAAGAGTGGAGTTGTGTGGGTATGTGTTGGCCATATAGAGGAAGGGGAGGGTAGGGGTGGGTGTACTCACCCAATGGGGCATATCGTGATGTTCAGTAGTTCTGTGATGGAAATTGAGCACAATTACAGTCATCACTACAGAGAACGCAACCATAATCCTACAAATATATCATGTGTTGTTATATTATTGTCTTCTTTTCAATCATTTGTTATATTTTTGTTATATATTTTGTTTCAAAACACAAATACAATTTGTGTTTCAAAATTGGTTGTATTTATTTTATTTCATTTTTTTGTTGTTGAAAATCGTCGCAAACATATCAACCGATACTTACATAATGCACGCAAAATAAGAGCCTAGAAATAAATTAAACTCATTGTNAAATAATTTGAATCAACCATTTAGTTGCTAGTATTTTGTCAACAATTTCTATGAGACAGTTTTCAGTTAGGAATGCTATTTATAATGTATTAAAATAATATTTCAAACACATATGAAGTATTAATTTGCACCAAATTATGTTATGTAAAAACAAAATATTTTTTATGTTAATATATGGCTCTCTTTACAAAATATTTTATTGATTTAATCATTGTTTAAAAGCAAAAAAATATTATAAGCCGATTGGGATTAAAATTGCGATATCGTTACGACATAAAAAATGTTTTTATATAAATTATTTATAGATTGAAATTACTCTTAAAATTATTTTAGGCATAAATTTATAGGACTTGTAATAAATTTCAAAATAATATCTACTGAATATACTGTATGTGAAAATACAATATAAAATTGTTTTAATTCTGATCGCGATTTAAACTCAATCATCAGTAAGTTAAAAGTTAACTATAATTAAAATGTTTATATACTGTATATATATTGTTGTCAACAATAAGTTATGAAATTAAATATATAAATATTTGATTATTATTTATAAATAAAGATAAAAATGAAAAGTATTTTATATCTTTTGATGCATTCATTCATTCAATTTTATTTCTTGAAATGTTTTTACAAACTTTTTTATACATACAATAGCTTTGGGTTAAAGAAATAAATTGAGAAAAATTAAATTTTTCTTTTTCAACAAAAAATATTTCAACACATTATATAATACGTGTATATAATGTATATCAACAGAAGACAAGTTTATTCTCAAAATATTTCCGTTATTTTCAATTAAAAATACATCAAATATTCTAACAATAAGAATAAAATTCAACCAAAATTACAGGAAAATTATTTATGTTTATAAGTATTTTATTACAACAACAAAAATTATTTACTATTAATCTGAAAGCAATATAAAAGTCATTTTTAATGAATTCCTTTGACAAAAAAAATTTTGATTAAAAGGAAAATCCGTTTGAAGTAAAGGTAAGACATATAAGACTTTGCTTTTAATTCCAAAAGCTTTTATGCAATGAAATTATACCTAACGTTCTCTCTCTCTCTCTCTCTCTCTCTCTCTCTCTCTC